AGGGGGAGGGGGAGGTGCTGGGAGAAGGCTTAAAAGGAGGAGTGGAGTGGGAATAGAACCAAAGTTCCTGCAGTATTTTGGTACCAAAAGGAGCTTGTTAACTTTCAAGTTCCATTATGAATACTTCAAAACAGAAAATATTTTCTTGGCGGCAAAATACACTGCAATTTTTATCATAATTACTATATCAATGAGAAATCAATTATTTGCAGACTTCTGCTTTATAAATAATAATGTATTAATAAAACTGAACGTAAGTCACACTAAGACTGAAGATAACACAGTTAAAGCTCCTTGCAAAGACATCTTTTTTTCAGACAGTGCCAGTAATAAACCATAATTATTCTAACATCTGAATTGCACAGTATGTATCTCTGTTTTCTTCTGAGTATACTCAAAAGGCATATTTTAGATCTCAGAAATGAATTTATCAATAACTGTTTTTCACAATATTTGGCACTCCCAAAAGCTTTATTTAAAAGTTACATGACTGAACCCAACAATGCAATTTACAAAAAGAGCTATTTATGGTACTTCTCCTACCACTTCTTCAGTGTGTTGTTCAGAGGATCCCTCCTCATCTGTCTTTGAACTTTGTCAGGATTCTTCTGGGTTGTCCTTAACTCCTCTTCTGTTCTCTATTTACACTTATATCTGGGAAATCTCAATTCAACTACCATTCCCATATTGATGGCTTACAGATTTACCTCTACTCTAGACCTATTTCCTTCTGTCCAAACCAAAAATCTCAGCTTCTCTCTCTGACATCTCCATATGAATGCCTAAGCTATCAGTTCAAGGTTAATATGACTAAAACACAGTTCCTAAACTTCCTTCTCAAGACTTTCCTGCTTCCTCCCTTCTTGATCAGGCCTACAACCATCAAGTCCAGAATCCGGGCAATATCTTCAATGTCAATATTTCTCTGGTTCTGTACGGGGAGATTTTGGCAAATCCAGTAATGTGCCTGAACCACTATTGCTTACTGCTTAAACTTTAGCAACCAAGCTAACAGGCCCAAAATAGGCCTAGACAGCATGACCAAGTCAGGGAGGGGGAAGAAGGGGGAGTTTGGGAGCCATATAGAGGGCAGCTTGACCCCACGTACTTCCTGAGGCCCAAATCTCTAGTGAAATCACTGAGCAATATATTAAGAAAAACAGGAAGTTTGTCTAAATGCCCTAAGACACATATCTATCAGGACCCTTGGGCATGGAGTCTCTGAAGAAGAAAAAAACGCATCTGGTGAAAGTGATGATCAGAAGAAAACCTCTTGCATAACCTTTAAAAAGTGCTTGCCTAACAAGTTTTTGAGTGACATGTTATTGTAATACTAATGAATAAATAGGGAAGGAAAGTTTGAGTTGGGGGGGACAATTTTGGGAACACTTGGAGGGACACCTTGAGGACTCTTCACTTCTGGACACATCTTCATCTCCACCAGCAGACGGAAGCCTGGCCATCGGAAGCCTGCTCGAGAACCACACTCAACTTCGGTAATTATCAAGAGTGGGGGTGTTTTACTAACCTGTTGCAGACGTGTGTAAGTGCTTGAGACGAAGTAAAGTTTAGCTTTAAGTGAAAGCACTCTTGTGCTGTCCTGTTTGTACCATCCATTGATTGGTCGGACGACCATATATCCCCTGAATTATTTCCTGACACCACCTCGCAGAGAGTAAAAGTTACCGAGAGGTTTGGGTTGAAAGAACCCGAGGTAACAGTTCCTCACATTGAGGCTATGTATAAATCTCACCAATTATTTCTCAACTTCACCTTTAAGATATGGCCTTTCGTAACTTTCCATCTAGCTAAAAATCCTGTCCAAACTTTCACCTTGTCTTTATTATTGGAAAACACTTCTCTCTGGATGTGTCTACACAGCACCCTAGCCTGCTTTTTGCAACAAGTTATTGATTTTTTTACTCACTTTAAGTGAAAGACCAAAAATGACAAAATACATTACCTTCAACACTTGAACTTGGCCTTCAGTAGTTATGTCCTTTAAGAGCTCACAAAATGATCGACACAGATCACCTGAATACACCTGAAATTAAATGAAAATCAAAATGAAATGTTGTTGTTTGCATCATATAAAGAACAAAATAAAAAGACACTAAAAACCTTGACATAATGCATTCTGTAATAAATTGTATTTATAATTGCAATTCCTAGTGAAACAAAGAATTAATTCTGCCATCAGATGCAGCAAGACTTACATTTAAATTAGGTGACATTTAAACTTTACTCAATATTTATAGGACAATGGTAGTTACTTAAAAGTTATCTATTGTACTTGCAAAAAATTCCAATTGACCACCTACTATCTTAGGGTGCTACACAAATTGCATATCTTATTTTGATGCTATTTCTAAGGGATTAGAGGCCTTAGGTGGGCAATGGAGCAGGGCAGGATTGGATACTTCCTAGGCAGGAGCGTGGATTGTGCTTTTTTTTGGTCACTGTTGCTGTTGAATTCCCATCAGTCCTCCATCCCATTTTGGCCCATGGGTCTGTATCCATTCCATTGCCGACTATTCTTTTATATAAATGGTCTCAGAATTCCTGTGTGCGCAACTAAGTCAGGGCCACCCAGAAGAACATAAGCAAACAGGGTCTATGACTAACCCAATGAGAAAAAAAGATGGATGGGGGAGAAAAGGAAAAGGGGTGGATGCAGAACAAATTGGTGACAGATTGTGAGAAATCCAGGTCATAAGGCCAAAAAAAAACCCCTAAAAAATAAGACACAAACCCTACTCTGTTAACAATATATTTATTTATGTGTTAGCCTATGTCCAAAGTGTTTAGCAGAAGTCCTAGGTTTACACTCACCTCCATCCAGGGCAACACAGTCTCTCTACCTTTCTTCAGTGCCCCACTCACCCAATTCCACCAAGATAATGTCCTCACCACATCTGATTCATCCCAACTCTCTTGAAATCCTCTGATTTCTTGATATCCTAAGCCAGTGATTTTCAACTTGGGATCCACAAAAGATTGTTATTACCACAGAACAGTGGTTTTCAACCTGTGGTGTGGAGTCCTGTGGAACCTTATAGACTAACTGAAGTGTTGGAGCATAAACTTTCGTGGGCAAAGACCCACTTCGTCAGATGCATGTAGTGGAAATTTCCAGAGGGAGGTATAAATATGCAGGCCAGAATCAGGCTAGAGATGACAAGGTGGATACAATCAGGGAGAATGAGGCTCCACTTCTAGTAGCTGATCTGGAGGTGTGAATACCAAGAGAGAAGCTGCTTTTGTAGTTAGCTAGCCATTCACGGTCTTTGTTGAATCCTGAGTTGATTGTGTCAAACTTGAAGATGAACTGTAGCTCAGCAGTTTCTCTTTGAGGTCTGGTCTTGAAGTTTTTTTTCCTGCAGGATGGCTACCTTTAGATCTGCAATTGTGTGTCCAGGGAGATTGAAGTGTTCCTCTACAGGTTTTTGTATATTGCCATTCCTAATATCGGATTTGTGTCCATTTATTCTTTTACATAGGGACTGTCCAGTTTGGCCGATGTATATAGCAGAGGGGCCTTGTTGGTACATGATGGCATATATTACGTTAGTAGATGTGCAGGAGAACCAGTGACAGTATGGCTGATCTGGTTGGGTCCTGTGATGGGGTTGCTGGTGTATATATGTGGGCAGAGTTGGCACCAAGGTTTGTTGCATGGATTGGTTCCTGAATTAGAGTCATTATGGTGCGGTGTATAGTTGCTGGTGAGAATATGCTTCAGGTTGGCGGGCTGTCTGTGGGCGAGGACTAGCCTGCCTCCCAAGGCCTGTGAAAGTGAGGGATCATTGTCCAGGATGGGTTGTAGATCACTAATGATGTGTTGGAGAGGTTTTAGCTGAGGACTGTAGCTGATGGCCAGTGGTATTCTGTTGGTTTCTTTCTTGGGCTTGTCCTGTAGCAAGAGGCTTCTGAGTACACATCTGGCTCTGTTAATCTGTCTCCTCACTTCCTCGTGTGGATATCGTAGTTTACAGAATGCTTGTTGAAGATCACCTTCAAGATCCCCTATGGGGGATTCGCAGACTGTGTCTAAGATTTCCAAAGGAGTCTGCGCCTCCAATAAACATTTCTTAGAAGGTCTGAAAATGGGGGGAGGAAAGGTTGAAAAATCACTGTCCCAAGCCATTGAGTCTCCAAGACTTGACTTCTTACACTTGGGTACCATCTACTGGCTGATTACAGTAATAATAAATAAAGGATGAAAACTGAAAATCAAGATATTTTAAGCAGGAGAATATGAAATCAATTCGGCCAATTAATTCCCCAGGATGTACTTCAAGGAGGTGCCTGGAAGCAGTCCAGATAGACAGAAACCAGCAGGCCTATATAAAGTCCTGTATCTGAGATTAGCTGGGAGCTGCAGAGAAATAATCTGCAGTCACTCCCTGGGAGACAGGAGTTTGGGCTGGCAAACCCAGACCAGAGGTAGGGGAAGAGCCAGAAAGAAGGAAAGAATTGGGGGGAAAGCAGCAAGAAAGTAAGTCTAAGGAGGGAAAGCAGCTAAAATATTTTGGCTTTTGGCTACTGACAAAGATTGTGAAGTAAAGAGTGAATCACATTCCTCTACTGCCCGTGGGGTTGTGCGTAGGCTAGGCAGTGGAGAATAGATTGTCTGGGATGGTTTGCCCAGAAATACTCTGTTACCCCAGAAGGGGAGGACTAGTGACCCAGCTGAGAACCAAGTGACAAACAAAGAACACATGTCATTGAAGAGATGGGCTGAGAGACTGTCAAAAGAGGTCACAGTACCTGGAAGGAGTTAAGCCCCAGAACTACCAGGAGGAGGTACCCTATCAGTGTGTGGACTTTGAGACAAGCAAATGGCTGACCACTGATTGTTTGGAACTTGTTGGAAGCTTGCCCTTTCTGCGGTAAGAATTAAAAAAAAAAATCCCTCTGGTTTAGAGGTCCATTCATTCCCGCATGGGACAGGAGCAATGGTCCATTCCATAGTAGAGTGGGTGGACTACATGCAATTATTTTAAAAATGCTTAAGTATACAACATTCTGTCATTCTCATTTAATTTATAGTAGTAGTGTACCAAAGCTTAGAACTTGGACCAATACTTGGAAAAGGCAGATTGATGAACTTGGAATCTCCAGATAGTACAGAATGCAGATGTTCAGATATATTACTTAGTTGGAACTGAACATAAATCCAAAAAGTGCCTAACAACATGCATTTTTAAGTAAACAAAGCTGTGTCTTTTTTATTAACACTTTTCTCCATTTTTCTCCTTCCATCGCTAAGGATTTTCTTTCCATGTCTTTTCTTCTGCTTATTGTTCATTTGGTTTTAACTTCTGACTTTTTTCTTTACAGCTCTTTCTCTTCCCCTCCAAGTCAGCACCCCTTTTCCTCTGGATTCTGCAGTCCTTTTGCCTCCATATTTCCATTATTTCAGTCTCAATTTCTATTTTATCAGTCATCTATTTAAATATTCTTTCATTCTGTAGATTACCTAATTCTCAGTGCTACTATGTCTTTTTTCTTCCTTCAGCAGGGACCCAGCAGATGTCCTTACTTCTTTAACTTCCACAAGTAACATATAATTAAATTATACATATTAAAAACAGTACCAACATTTAGGGCGTTTCATTTTTGGCTACTCAACTTGAGAAATCTTGATAAATAAAAATGTTGAGAGCTCAAATTTCACTAGGTACTATGAATACTCAGCAATTTCAGATGAAAATTAAGCTTTATCAAAGCACAGGAATAATTGTAGATAAAAAGATATACATAGCTCAACTTTTCTCTACACCAGTTTCTGTATTTTACATCTTTCTTCTTGTGAAAACAGAGAGACTTAGGGCATGTTCTAACAAACAGATCTGATTTCCTTCTCTCTCAGTTAAAATTAGCCTAACAGGTGGCAGTTCAAATTGTCTCAATTACAGTGGAATGAAGGATTCTATGCTACTCAAGCAATGCAGTTACAAGTGATAGAGGATGGCTGACTAGAAAACAAATATAATGCAGTCATTTTATTAAAATGCAAACTTCCCTTTTCTTTCCAATAAATCCTAGTTGATCCTAGATAAATTAATTGTACTTCTGCACAGCTGAGCATCATACAGGCTACTCTTGACAACCCTTATATAAATTAAAAAACAAACATTTGTTTTAAATGGAGTCAAAGACATTCAATGAATGGGGAATTCAACCTTTGAGTTAAAAACAAAATGGAATAGGAAAAGAGACACAAAAGAAAAAGAAAGACTACTGAAGTTATACACTGGTTCATTTTATGGTTAAGTCACTGTGCCACAGAATTCCTGAGACACTTTGGGCAAATCATTTAAGCCCAGATTTTAAAAGTATTTAGAAAAGTATTTCAGTGCCTTCAAAAATCTAACCCTTAATCTCTGTGTCTCATTTCCACATCTATAAAATGAGAATACAGGTTGTACCTCTCTAGTCTGGCACCTTCAGGATTTAACTGGTCCCGGATAAGGGATTTGGTTGGACCAGGGGAGGTCATTTCCGGCACCCCTGCTGCTGGCCATACCCACTCCGCAGTCTCCCCCTTTCCTGGGATTCCAAGACAATGGATGTTGCCGGACCAGAGAGTCCCAGTTTATAGAGGTACAACCAGCACTACCAATTTCCTTCTTTGATCTGTCTTGTCCAATTGAGTTGCAAGCGCGTTTGGGGAAGGAATTATCACTTATTATGTATGCGCATAGCATCTAGCGCAATGAATTTCAGAATTCACTTGGCGTCTCTGGGCATTACTACAATATAAGTATTATTTTTATTACAAAATTTAAACTATTGCTCCCTAATGAGTTTGTTCCAATAAATATTTTTTAATTCTAAATATGGTTAATATGATACTGTATACTCCAAGAAACCAGAATCTTCAATTACATTATTTTACAGAAAACCCACTATGTGCAATGAATCCATTACAGCAAAATACTATTTTGAACTGAAAAATCTGTCCTGATTTCGGAAAAAGGGGGGAAAAAATCTCTTTTATCATAATAAAACACTGAGAATCAAAATGAAATAGTGAACACAAAACATTACAAAATACTAATTTCACTTCTCCACATACCTGTAGAAATTCAGCAGATGATAAAAAAATATAAGCATTGATGATCTTAAAGCAGGTTCTGAGATTTTCTGAACTCAGCTCTGCAAAAATAAGTTTATATGATTTAATATATTTGCCAGCAAACTATTTTTATAAATAATTAACTTTGCAAACAGTCATATTTACTTTCATATGATAATTCTGTTTGATTTATTTTCCTCTTATTTTTTTATTATATCACAGACTTACTTACCTGATGTATTTTCCCCAAAATAAGTCAGTAATTACAGATCCATACTACTAGATTTATTAGTGATGTAAGAGTGTAATTGTTTAAATGGTTACACACCAGCTCCAGGTCCTCCTTCCTGGGAGCCAGTTGCAGCCCCACTCTGCTGCTTCTGCTTCCTCCAACAGGAGCCAGTACACACCAGCAGCCAGATTAAAAGCTAGCTCCTAGCATGCACCAACTTCTGAAGAGCCAACTGTCACCTCTCACTGCTGACTCTGTATGAGAGTCTGAGCACAGGGCAGCAGCCAGTTCTCCTGGAGTGGGACCGGCATCCAGGAGAGCACTAGTTGCCAGCCCCGCCCGTGGAGCCAGCATGTAACTAAAATTTTTAGTGTTTATAATGGGAAGATAAATTTCTTTAACACATGACAAATTTCTCTGTGCATCTACAAAAATGCTCTTATCTTTACACTTGTTCCCAGACCTCAAGCATCAGCTCTGTTATGCAACATTCAATTAAACCATGCATAGCTGACACTTATCTTTTGCCACTTAGCCTTCATTTTCTCCCAATCCTTTGTCTTTTATGAACTGTAGATTACATAAACAATCAAATCTAGAAGTGATACACAGTGAAGCTACTCAAGGATTATTTGATTATTTGCAGGGACATCTTGAAATCTTTTATTTGTACCAATTTAACACAGGTCATTAAAAAAACTTTTCTGTAATCTCTGACTTTTTGCATACAGTAACTTGGAAAACTGATTTATTGATTTGGCTGTTCAGGTTTCAGAAACTTGATTTTGATATTGATCGTAACTAAGCTTTGGGTTTAAAATAAGTGAAGCTTTAAAATAAAGTGCACATGTTTCAGTCTGCTATTTTATTGAGTCACCAAATTATTTAATTTTTACTTAGGCTCTTTTGCCTGTGTAATGCAGACTCCTTCAGATTTTTATAAGGTTCTCAAGCAAACAAAAGGTTCTCAGTCTTTTTTCTGGGTCTAGTCCAGATATTAGCATCCAACCATGCCTCTAAACATCCACTCCTGAGATAGCTACCCTCATCACTATGACTCCCACTTCATACACAAGTTTGTAAAGTATAAGTCTACATTGCAGACCACTTTTTGGCCATGTAGACCATGCAGATAAAGTAGCAGCTACAAATTAGCAAATCGTTTGAAAAAAGATTCAGCACTGAATCTCAGAGTTCTGGGTTCAGTTTGTCTTCCCCTTCATAGCTTTTCCTCCATCTCTAAGCTCGTTTGGAGATGTGAAATCATTAGAAATATCCTTGATCAAAATGTACTTTTTGACCATTTCAGATTAGGAGGGCAAAAAAGTATGAGATATTTATGCCTCTCATCAATAATATGAGGCAACTAAACAGCAATCTTACTCAAAGGGCTCTTTGGATCTTTGTTCTTGCATATTCCTGAACAGAAATTAAGTCAAGTCCAGCTATCCTGTCTAGTTTCTTTTTAAATGGTGAAAGATCAGATCTTTTACAATGTCACAGTCTTGTTCTAAAGATGCATCTGGTCTCTGATAGTTCGTCCTTTCAACAGACTACATGAGAAGTATCCCTTTCCTCACTCCAACACAATTCAACCTGGTGCATTTAAGGGTTTGAGAAAAAGTCTTTTCTGCAGGTCAGGTAAGCTAGCAGCAATATTTGGTAGCTAGAAGGGCAATGAGCACTTCTTAGGAAAACCACAGGAGGAAACAACAAATCAATTCAGAAGTACAGGTACTTGAAAGGTTGCTGGTATATTATGAAGGGGAAAGGAGTCCAGGACAGCTGGCAGTATTTTAAAGAAGCCTTATTGAAGGCACAGAAAGAAACCATCCCGATGCATAACAAGAGAGGCAAACATGATAGGAGACCGGATTGGCTTATGGGGGAAATCCTTGGTGAATGCAAGGACAAAAAGGATGCTTACAAAAAGTGGAAAGTTGGACAAATGACCAGGGAGGGCTTTAAATGTATAGCTCGAGAATGCCAGGGGGTTATCAGGAAGATGAAAGCGCAATTGGAATGGCAACTGGCAAAAAATGTAAAGGATAACAAGAAAGGTTTCTACAGGCACGTTAACAAGGTGATAGGAGAGGATATGGGGCCCCTACTAGATGAAGGAGGTAACCTAGTGACAGATGATGTGGGGAAAGCTGAAGTACTCAATGCTTTCTTTGCCTCTGTATTCATGGACAAGGTCGGCTCTCGGACTAACACGCTAAGTAACACAAGATGGAATGAAGATGGGCAGCCCTTGCTGGGTAAAGAACAGGTTAGGAACTATTTAGAAAAGCTATATGTACACAAATCGATGGGTCCAGACTTAATACATCCAAGGGTACTGAGGGAGTTGGAAAATGTCACTGAGGAGCCTTTCGCCATTATCTTTGAAAAATCATGGAGATTGGGAGAGATGATTGGATCCCGGATGATTGGAAAAAGGCAAATGTAGTGCCCATCTTCAAAAAAGGGAAGAAGGACGATCCAGGGAACTATAGGCCGGTCAGTCTTACCTCGGTTCCTGGAAAAATCATGGAAGGGATCCTTAAAGAATCTATTTTGAGGCACTTGGAAGAGAAGAAAGTGATTAGGAATAGTCAGTATGGATTCACAAAGGGCAAGTCGTGCCTGACCAATCTGATTAGCTTCTATGATGAGATAACTGGCTCTGTGGACGTGGGAAAGTCAGTGGATGTGCTATCAAAAGCCTTGCTCAAGTCAAGGTATATGGTCTCCCACAATATTCTTGCCAACAAGTTAAGGGAATGTGGAGTGGATAAATGGATGGTAAGATGGATAGAAAGATGGCTAGAAGGCAGGGCCCAGCAGGTAGCGATGAACGGCTCGATGTCAAGATGGCGGTCGGTTTCTAGCGGAGTGCCCCAAGGTTTGGTCTAGGACTGGTTTTGTTCAGAATCTTTATTAATGACCTGGATGAGGGGATGGATTGCACCCTCAGCAAGTTTGCAGATGACACTAAGCTAGGGGGAGATGTAGATACGCTTGAAGGCAGAGACAGGGTCCACAATGACTTAGACAAATTCGAGGATTGGGCCACAAGAAATCTGATGAGGTTCAACAAGGACAAGTGCAGAGTCCTGCACTTGGGACGGAAGAATCCCAAGCATAGTTACAGGCTGGGGACCAACCAGTTAAGTAGTAGTCCTGCAGAAAAGGACCTGGTGCTTACAGTGGATGAGAAGCTGGATATGAGTCAACAGTGTGCCCTTCTAGCCAAGAAGGCTAATGGTATATTAGGTTGCATTAGGAGGAGCATTGCCAGGAGATCCAGAGATGTCATTATTCCCCTTTATTCAGGTCTGGTGAGGCCATATCTCAAGTATTGTGTCCAGTTCTGGACCCCCCACTACAAAAAGGATGTGGACGCATTGGAGAGGGTCCAATGGAGGGCAACCAAAATGATTAGGAGGCTGGAGCATATGACCTATGAGGAGACACTGAGGGTGTTGGGATTTGATAGCAGCCTTCAACTTCCTGAAGGGAGGTTCTAAAAAGGATGGAGAAAGGCTGTTCTCAGTAGTGACAGATGGCAGAACAAGGAGTAATGGTCTCAAGTTGTGGTGGGAAAGGTCCAGGTTGGATATTAGGAAAAACTATTTCACTAGGAGAGTGGTGAAGCACTAGAATGGGTTACCTAGGGAAGTAGTGGAGTCTTCTTCCCGAGCTGTGTTTAAGTTTCGGCTTGACAAAGCCTTGGCTGGGTTGATTTAGTTGGGATTGGTCCTGCCTGGAGCAGGGGGCTGGACTTGATGACCTTCTGAGGTCTTTTCCAGCTCCATGGTTCTAGGATTCTATGATTCATTAATCCTCTAGAGGGGGGAGGAGAGGGAGATATTTGTCTCAAGAGGTCTGTACAATGGAAAGTACGTCCCAGCGTCAGCGGTAATGGAGAGACTTGTGGCATGGAAGTGATGATCGCGATACCGGTGGTAAAGAGGACAGTGCTGGCGAGAAGGTTGGCGAAGAAGGAGTAGGACTACGAGGTCTATCGAAGTTTGCACATGCCTTCCTCCATGCCAATGGTTCCGGTGCCGGGAAGGAAAGAGATGCCCATGCGAGTGCAGGGGTCGTTGCAGAGGCAGCTGCCGGTGCTGATGAAGCCTTTGGTTCAGGGTGCCAAGTCGGCTCCTGTAATCAGCACCGACAGTGTGGCGGAATGGATTTTCAGGTCTGACTGAGCCTTTGGGCTAGCAGAGGCAGTGCCAAAAGTACCGGGTTTATCCATGGTGCTGACCCTACTTAGGGGTACCAATGGCAAAGAGCAAGACAGAGACATGCACTTTTTTGACAAAGACCCAGTAGCTGAGGAAGAGGCCCTGCGTTTTTGGGGCCGTGAAGGGTCAGAAGGAGCTGCAGTTGTTGAGTCTGAATGTTGGAGTGTTTTGTTAAACGAGCATGCAAAGTCACATCTCTCTGTCTTGGCAAGACCTTGGCAGTGAGCTTTGAACAGCGTGGGCACTTTTGTGGTATATGTGCCTCTCCCAGGCATCATATGTAAGAGGAGTACCTGTCCGATGCCAGCATGGGTTCACGGCAAGAATTACATTTTTTAAAACCCAGTGAAGCCAGCATTGTGTGAGGAAGATGACCGTGTTCCCCTCAAGTTCAAGAATTCTTCCTTTATGTTGTGTTCTTTTTTTTTTTTTTTTTTTTTTTATAAACGGAGATCTAATAACTAACTATGAGAGTAACTATAACAAAAACTAACAGGAACAAACTACAATTTTTTTATTCTGACTAAACAGGCTGAGGAGAGGAGCTCACTCTGTCTGCGACCGAGGACGGCAACGAAGGAACTGGCAGGAGCCGGACTGCATGCATGAATAA